TTTATTCAGTGCCATTTGCATAGAGCTGCCATACAAAATCTGCCCAAAGTCATACAAATCTGCCCAAAGTCAAAAATTACAACAAAAGAAGAATGTGAACATCATAGATAAAAGTACAAATAATAATTTACATCACGTATATAGTCAACCGACAAACAAAACTAAAAAAGAATAATTAACACTATACGGATGAAACAAAAAAGAAATATATAAAATGAAATTTTTTTTTTAACTTAGCCCAACAATAAATCCTTTGACACAAAACTAATACAGTAATACCTCGACTTACGCGAACCTGGAGTTACGTGATTTTCAAATCTCGTCGATTCGTCTTTTATTTGAGCGCCACGCAACTCTTGATTACTCATTCCCCCCAAACTATTGTTCAGCTTACATGTTCAGATGTGTCACATGGAATCAACGCATAGCTACAATTTATTTTGTGTTTGTTATATCTACGGAGACTTGAGAGACTCTACTATGTCATATAAACAAAGTAGAACTGATTCTTCGGCATCAAACAAGAAAAGAAAAATTTTATCTTTGGAATGTAAAGTTAACATCATTAAAGACTTCAATACAAAAATGAAAATTTGTGAATCGGCAAAGAAGTTTGATCTACCGGAATCGACGGTCAGAACAATTATAAAAGGTAAAGAAAAAATTCTCGAAGCTGTGAAAAATGCTCAATCTTTAAATTCAAGCATCATTCGTAAACTTCACGGTATTATCGCTGAGATGGAAACAACGTTAAAATTATTGTGATGATCAAGTAAATGTGAAAAACTGTATAATAATGAATTGTTATACATATGTATTATCTAAGATTTTATTAAACATTTTTTTCTAAATTATTGTTTTCTTTAGTCTCCGGTCCCAATTAAAAATTATTTGTATGTATTTAAATGCGAAATTATACCCTGACTTATGCAAATTCGGTTATCGCTCGGTCCCACCTATCACGTAAGTTTGGGGTATCACTGTACTCAAGAAAATGAGCATCTCAAATGTCTCAATAATTAAACTTAGAATTAAACAAATACAATTGCCATTGACAAGAATTTGAAATATTTTTAATATATTATTTTCAGAATATTTTACATTTTATCTTTAAAATTCTACTTAAAAATTTTTCAGAGGATAGAAACTTTTAATCATTTATTAGAATTTCAAATATTTCTATTACATTCATAGTGATGTTTATAAATAAGATATTACAAATTATCATAATTAAATGTTTCATCTGAATACTATTTAGTAATTCGAACACAAATCAATTATTGTATTTATTCAGACACTTGGCAAATCTCATCATTAAATTTTATTTGGTAGATACGTGTTCATTGTATTTTTACATGTTTCGGGCATTCCTTGCCCCTCTTCAGCCAACTTTTTGATTACAGATTACTGAAAGTTAAAATCATAAAATTTCTTTGCACATTTAACTTCTTATCCATCAAATTACAAATGTTTGTAAGGTTTGTACCTTTAAAACATCTTTACACACACGACTTCTTATTATCTAGTTATTATGAAAACTATTTATTAAAACTAGTGCAATACATTCGAACTTAGTTCTAAATTGGGTTTAAATGATTTGCTAATAATTAATAATTATAAGCAATTATTCAAAAGTCTACTCAAACATGTAAAACATAATATAAAAACTCAAATGCTTAACCAAATATCATAGGATTTTTAAATCCTAAATTAATTATTAAAATAAATGTAAAAAGGCAGCATTGTCTACTTTTAAGATAAACTACTTAATAATTATTTCAAAATATAACAAAGTTATAGACCATTTGGCAAATATAATAACTGAATTTCACTATACAGGTATACCTCGCCTTACGTCGGTAATTGGTTCCAGGAAAGTGACGTAAGTCGAATTTACTTGTCTCCAAATCTACTTATCACTAGGCTAAACCATAAATTACCATTCCCGTTCTGTATTTTATTTATTAATGCATTTTTAATAATATATAGTTAATAAGGATCTATTTTAAGCTTACAAACAAATAAATTCTAGTTTGTAATATAGTACAGAAAAAAGTAATCTAAATTTACAAATGAATGTACTGTAAATACAGTATATACTTGTAAATGTATATATTTTAATATGATTTTATGTGCTTTAAACGCTTTTCTAGTGATATTACGACTTCAATATTTGTGGCGGACAGACGTAAAGTTGAATAAAATGACTTAAACTTGATTTTTATTTTTCCATATACTTTTTTGACAAACAACATATAATCGGGAACGACATAAGTTGAGATATACCTGTATCAAAACTGATTTATAATTTTTCTGTTTTATGGTTGCTGTATATTGGATCTTGTGTATGTACTGTACATCTCTTTAATCCAAACTTTTGTTCAGTAGATTATCTCACAGCATCACAGTTAGAAACATCTTTAATTTTTTAAATGTGCAATGTAATCCAATTTTAAAAAAAAATAAAGATGTTTCTAATCATGATTCTGTGAGATAATCTACTGAACAAAAGTTTGGATTAAAGAGACATTCATACACAAGACACAATGATTTATTATAACCTTAAAACAAAATTCAAGAGAGAAAAATAATTACTTGGAATGGGTCTTAAAACATCCGGAATGAGCACATCGACTAGATTTTGGTAAAACTGATAATCAGCTCGACGAACAAATTGTTGAACTGGTTCACACTTGCACAGAAGGTATAATTTTGACTTGCTGAGTAATTTTTCATATTCACTAAAAAAATTTATAGAGATTTTTAAAATAATAGAACATAATTATTTTCTAATTTCAACTTACTTTTGGCCATGGCTATTTTGTGTTCTCCAAAACGTCTGCCATAAGGTTTCTACCATACAAAACTGAAGATTTACTACAGCATCTAAAAATGCCTTTAAAGATAACCAACTTATAAGAAACTTATAATAGTTACACTTATTTTATATTCTTATATCTGTAATTATATCTTACTTCACAATGTTCTCTGTACAAATTGCGAAATTCAAGTAAATCATCCTGATTTATACCATCAGATAAGGCTGATGTTTCAAAATCAATATCAATAAAATTCGGAATTGCAGCTGAAGCATCACCAAGAAATTGCTGATGTTGTTGTTGAGGCTGCTGATTATGAAGGCCTTCTGCAGTCTGTGATGTAACAGAGCTACTAGATGTACTATTTCCATCTGAATTATCAGATTTTGTGGAATTGTTGGGTTTTAACCTTGAACAAATTAAAACATAAAAAGTTTAATAAGTCATCTTTTAATAAATATTTAAGTTATAGTTGCTGTAAATAATTTAACATTGAAAAATACAGTGGGTCCTTACTTAATATCATCAATAGATTATAATATAGCTTGATCCTCACGGCAAATGTTAAATAGCAGGAAGAAAAACTCACTGAGTACAGCATTATTAATAGCTTTTATTGCTAGCACTTTCAACAAACCTGTTTGTCATCATCAAGCAAACAAAGATTTGCATTAAATTTTTGTTTGTTCCCAATCAATAGACTCTTGGAAACTAATGTTAAGCAAAATAACATATAGTAAAACCTCTAAATCTTGAATTTGAAGAGACCAAAAATAAAAAAAATAAATAATAAAAATAAAAAATGGTCAGTTTGAGTTATGAAGAGTTCTACATATNTCATTTATTAGAATTTCAAATATTTCTATTACATTCATAGTGATGTTTATAAATAAGATATTACAAATTATCATAATTAAATGTTTCATCTGAATACTATTTAGTAATTCGAACACAAATCAATTATTGTATTTATTCAGACACTTGGCAAATCTCATCATTAAATTTTATTTGGTAGATACGTGTTCATTGTATTTTTACATGTTTCGGGCATTCCTTGCCCCTCTTCAGCCAACTTTTTGATTACAGATTACTGAAAGTTAAAATCATAAAATTTCTTTGCACATTTAACTTCTTATCCATCAAATTACAAATGTTTGTAAGGTTTGTACCTTTAAAACATCTTTACACACATGACTTCTTATTATCTAGTTATTATGAAAACTATTTATTAAAACTAGTGCAATACATTTGAACTTAGTTCTAAATTGGGTTTAAATGATTTGCTAATAATTAATAATTATAAGCAATTATTCAAAAGTCTACTCAAACATGTAAAACATAATATAAAAACTCAAATGTTTAACCAAATATCATAGGATTTTTAAATCCTAAATTAATTATTAAAATAAATGTAAAAAGGCAGCATTGTCTACTTTTAAGATAAACTACTTAATAATTATTTCAAAATATAACAAAGTTATAGACCATTTGGCAAATATAATAACTGAATTTCACTATACAGGTATACCTCGCCTTACGTCGGTAATTGGTTCCAGGAAAGTGACGTAAGTCGAATTTACTTGTCTCCAAATCTACTTGTCACTAGGCTAAACCATAAATTACCATTCCCGTTCTGTATTTTATTTATTAATGCATTTTTAATAATATATAGTTAATAAGGATCTATTTTAAGCTTACAAACAAATAAATTCTAGTTTGTAATATAGTACAGAAAAAAGTAATCTAAATTTACAAATGAATGTACTGTAAATACAGTATATACTTGTAAATGTATATATTTTAATATGATTTTATGTGATTTAAACATTTTTGTAGTGATATTACGACTTCAAATATTTGTGGCGGACAGACGTAAAGTCGAATAAAATGACTTAAACTTGATTTTTANGTTGCTGTATATTGGATCTTGTGTATGTACTGTACATCTCTTTAATCCAAACTTTTGTTCAGTAGATTATCTCACAGCATCACAGTTAGAAACATCTTTAATTTTTTAAATGTGCAATGTAATCCAATTTAAAAAAAAAATAAAGATGTTTCTAATCATGATTCTGTGAGATAATCTACTGAACAAAAGTTTGGATTAAAGAGACATTCATACACAAGACACAATGATTTATTATAACCTTAAAACAAAATTCAAGAGAGAAAAATAATTACTTGGAATGGGTCTTAAAACATCCGGAATGAGCACATCGACTAGATTTTGGTAAAACTGATAATCAGCTCGACGAACGAATTGTTGAACTGGTTCACACTTGCACAGAAGGTATAATTTTGACTTGCTGAGTAATTTTTCATATTCACTAAAAAAATTTATAGAGATTTTTAAAATAATAGAACATAATTATTTTCTAATTTCAACTTACTTTTGGCCATGGCTATTTTGTGTTCTCCAAAACGTCTGCCATAAGGTTTCTACCATACAAAACTGAAGATTTACTACAGCATCTAAAAATGCCTTTAAAGATAACCAACTTATAAGAAACTTATAATAGTTACACTTATTTTATATTCTTATATCTGTAATTATATCTTACTTCACAATGTTCTCTGTACAAATTGCGAAATTCAAGTAAATCATCCTGATTTATACCATCAGATAAGGCTGATGTTTCAAAATCAATATCAATAAAATTCGGAATTGCAGCTGAAGCATCACCAAGAAATTGCTGATGTTGTTGTTGAGGCTGCTGATTATGAAGGCCTTCTGCAGTCTGTGATGTAACAGAGCTACTAGATGTACTATTTCCATCTGAATTATCAGATTTTGTGGAATTGTTGGGTTTTAACCTTGAACAAATTAAAACATAAAAAGTTTAATAAGTCATCTTTTAATAAATATTTAAGTTATAGTTGCTGTAAATAATTTAACATTGAAAAATACAGTGGGTCCTTACTTAATATCATCAATAGATTATAATATAGCTTGATCCTCACGGCAAATGTTAAATAGCAGGAAGAAAAACTCACTGAGTACAGCATTATTAATAGCTTTTATTGCTAGCACTTTCAACAAACCTGTTTGTCATCATCAAGCAAACAAAGATTTGCATTAAATTTTTGTTTGTTCCTTCCTGCCATCAATAGACTCTTGGAAACTAATGTTAAGCAAAATAACATATAGTAAAACCTCTAAATCTTGAATTTGAAGAGACAAAAAAAAAAAAAAATAAATAATAAAAATAAAAAATGGTCAGTTTGAGTTATGAAGAGTTCTACATATGAAGGTACAGGTAACTCCTGTATAACACGGGAGTTATGTTCCAAAAAATTGCTGTTATGCGAAACAAAGAACTAGTATGAAAAGGGGGGTTAGGTTCCAAAAATTAAAAAACATGCTATATTTTCATAATTAAGATAATATCTTTATTAAAATTTTCTTAAGTAATACATATTAATATAAATTAAACAATGTTTTCTTCATCATCACTAAGCGCTATTCACTGAGGGCGTTTTCTTTTTGGCAAGATATCCTTATCCTCTGAGCATTTTTCTGCATTATCTTCAGATCCATGCTCTACCTTTTGCAAAAAATATGTTATTTTAGATTGCTTGCTTTTAGTTAAAAGATCTTTATAAATTTCCTTATATGGTGCTAAGCACATACGAAGAATAAAGCAAGTATGGAATAAGGGAAAACATCTGGCAACAAATCAGAAGCATTGATATCTGGCAACAAATCAGAAGCATTGATATCTGGCAACACTGAAACAAGTTTCGAGAAGGATTACATGTATCGACAGAAGGCAGAAAAGAAAATTTACATACTTAAGTACTAATAGTTAAAAAAAAAAAATAATTTTCGTGAACTATTAGTACTTAAGTATGTGAAAATTTATTACATTTCATGTTGTACGAGGATTTTACCCAATTCTTGAACTGTGTTAGAGTGAATCCATGCTATAAAAGTACCATGTTATACGGGGATGTTCCCAATTCTCAAACCGTGTTATAGAAGTGCTATAGAAGTGCCGTGTTATACGGGGGTTACATGTATATATTTTTCTATTTTTAATACAATGTAGATGTAAATTACAAAGTAGTAGAATAGGGAATGTAGTTCTTTGAAATATTTAAGTCCACGATATTTATTTGAATTATTATTAGAACAATATATAAGGCTGTAATACATAATGACTTAAATAAATATGAATTTAGATATATTACAAAGTTAAATCTCTATGCCATACAAAACTCAGTATGGCATACAGATTTAACTTTGTAATATATCTAAATTCATATTTATTTAAGTCATATGTATTACAGACTTATAGAGATTTAGTCATAAATAAAATTTTGCATAATACATTACATCAAATTTTAATATTTCCACTAAATCTAATAAACTTTTCATTAAAAGTGGCAACCTGCCATTTCATTTGAAACAGACTATGTCATTGGCTTGCTTATCAAACTATATTAAAGCGTCTTTACTGGGCAACATTCCAAAAAGATTCACAGAACATGGAATACAGGGTTGGTTGGTATCTGGTGAGTTTTCCTAATATGACTTCAGGAAGAGGACAATGTTGAAATATGTAAAATTTTGTTCTAATTTAGGAATAGAAAAATGTTATATTATATAGTGTTTGACATAAGGATGTTACTATTAAATTATTTATCCATTACTATTAATATTTATTAAAACTGTAATTTAGAAGGAAAAGAAAGAAGGAAAGATTTTGTCCAGGCTGGGACTCGAACCTATAACAGCCACATACACAGATGCATTGCCAGTTACACTACCCAGTCTCTGATCCAATCCTTTGTTTCTAGACTTATTTAATTTAGATGTGACCTTACTAGTTACTCATGGTGCTGAATGGGAATGATTAAGTGTCCATAGTTTATAATCAAACACTATGGCACTCAGTGGCTATCACTGACTGTGGCATGATGTACATGTACATGCACTGTACAAACATCTCTAATCTAAGTATTTGGTTTTAATATAACTATTGGGCTTAGAGATGTTCATATATGTGCTAAGAAAAATTTTGACTGTCGTCTAAATTGCCATAAATTTTTACCTGGCAAAACTTTTTACATCTCAGATATTTTTGTTTGGATATCAATTGTTTTTGTTCAATAATTGTATTATGTCAAGATTGGTCGGTGGTCGGCTACAGAATGCTTTCAANCCATAGTTTATAATCAAACACTATGGCACTCAGTGGCTATCACTGACTGTGGCATGATGTACATGTACATGCACTGTACAAACATCTCTAATCTAAGTATTTGGTTTTAATATAACTATTGGGCTTAGAGATGTTCATATATGTGCTAAGAAAAATTTTGACTGTCGTCTAAATTGCCATAAATTTTTACCTGGCAAAACTTTTTACATCTCAGATATTTTTGTTTGGATATCAATTGTTTTTGTTCAATAATTGTATTATGTCAAGATTGGTCGGTGGTCGGCTACAGAATGCTTTCAATATTCATTTCGGTTGGTGCTGACCAATGCTTTCAATACACAGTTTAGAAAAATCCTTATAAAAAGTTTTAGTTCACATAAATTTAAGCTTTTGTAATTTGAATAAAATTTATTTGTTTCCAAGCAATCTTTCTTTATAAACATAAAATTAAGATTTAGAATTGAATTAGCTCTATGGGAAACCCGTGAACTTTGACCTATCAACCTGAAAGTTTTGCGAGCACCTCACTAATAATGGGAAAGACTTAAGTTTAAAATTTAAGCTTTCTAGACCCAGTAGTTTTTTCTCTATGAGTGTCTGCAGTGCTAGATAAAGAAAAAGGAGGAGGAGAAGAAAATACAGCTTTTTTAGTGATTTTTGCACTTTTCAATTGCTTATATTCCAACAGCCGTTTAATAGAAAATCTTGAAATTTTGCAAACTACCTAAGAAAACAATTTTCTTTCAAATGAGATATTTGGAATTACTATAGGTTTTTGGAGAGTGGAGAAATTGACCCTCGAAAATCAGCAACTCTGACACCTGTATATGTAGTCAGTAAGTGACTTTTTTACTTGGCAGGAAGTCAGTGCCTTGACTCCTGATAACTGAATGAGGTCAACAAAAACTAAAAAGCTTTAATATCAAGCATAAAATTTACAAAAGAATAAACATTATTAGTTTAATTAGTCATAATCATGTTACAACTGAATACAGAAATAATAATTTTGTATTTGATTGGAACCATCTCATTTATAAATTTATAATCTTTAACAGTGGAAAAAAAAAAACTTTATACTTGAACACTAGGTAAAATCCATTCATAAATTTAAATATAAATGTATAATTTTAAAAACATATTGTTTGATAGTGCATATAACTTATCAAAACTAAATAAAATGTAAGTATATAGAACATGATGTATTACATCTTAAAAAAATGTTAATATATTACAAATAAACTCTTGAAAGTAAAAAATATTTCAAAATAAATATCTTTAAGTATAAAACAAGAATTATTAAAAAAAATAATAATAATACAGTGGAACCTTGCTTAACAAGCATAATTCGTTCCAGAATCTTACTTATAATGTGAAACACTCATTAAGCGAAACAATATTTCCCATATAAATTAATGTAAAGTATGATAATGTGTTCCATCCTGAAAAAAATACTCAAATATTTTATACCACATTTATTCAAAGAAAATTATACAATATATATTGTTGAGGAATGTGAATCATCATCATCTTTTCTTCTAGTGCAGAATGAACCAACCTGGAATATGAATTTGATTTGCAAAAACAAAAAAAATCAAAATTTAATTTAGAATTAGTCATTAAATTTAATACAAGATGGCAACATAACTGCCTATCTTTAGTCAAATTATTTAATTTCTAATATTTACAGCCTAATCATAGCCCAAGAATTTGGCATATTTATTATATAACAGGCTATGGCTGTTGATGTTTATATGTAATATGTCTGAACACAAGTTTGGAAAAATGTGTGATCACAAGTGACACTAAAGCCGTTGTCACACCATTCAATTTCCAGCTGCGCAGGTGATCACAACTGTAACAAGCGCTACTGTTGCAACTCGGAAACATGTGACCCTATAATAAACCAATAAATAACAGTAGCTTGTTTTTGACTACTTTCATGAGTTTACTAATGGTTTACATTCTCCTTCAGAGCATTTTCTTATTAAAATGATAAGCAGTTCCTTTTCTGCAATGAATAAAAGAAAAAAGATGATTATTTTGTTAGAGATGGCAAGAATACATGAAGAGATAAAATCTTCAATAAAACAAAGAATTAAAATCCCACAGGCATTCGTGAGCCTGAATAAGCTCAATCAATCTCGATTCTATAAAAGTATCAATCCTCTAACTTTCTGCCATGATGATGAACTATTTTCAATGTATTTTCAGTGTATGATGTGGCACAAAGGTGTTTGCTGATTGGATGTGCATTTGCAATTGGCATGAGTAGAACAAACTTTTTGTTCTAGTCATAGTTGCAGTTGTGCCAGTTTTTGAAGGGGGTTTACTAGTTAACAAGAACACCTGTTGCGGTTGCAGTTGCCTGCGTGGCTGGAAGTTGCAAGGTATGACCATGACTTAAGATGCTAGCAGAATGAGTGCTAAACACACACTGATATAACATATACACAATCCAAGACTTTCTCTCTTCTTGTCACTCATTAATCAAGTCATTTTTTTTACAATTTGTTTTGCTCATTATGAGAAGTGCTCATTAAACGAGGTTCCACTGTACTCAAAAATTATCAAACTTAGTTATATTTTCATTATTCTAAATATTTATCAAATTAATTTTTAATTATAAATTAAAATATTTATTACTTATTCTTAGTTCATTCGGCAATTTAATAATAACATAATTATATAAAATCTTTACCTTTTTGTTTGTCCTAAAGGCTGTTGTCTAAGAGCTGTTGTTACATCATCTGTTATTTGATTAAGTGGAGAATTTGGTTTTACACGTATCCCATAGTAATGGTACTTTGAATTACCTCTATTAAAAATAAATATTGAATGATTTTATAGAAATCTTAAATTTTCATAGTTTCTTTTTAGTGTATATGCAAATAGAACAACAACACAGATAAAATTTTCCTATGAATATTAACATTATATGAACATAAATGATTTCAATTATCTGAATTTTCAGGATCAAGGTAAGTCAAAAATCAAAACATTAATTCTGATCAATATATTAGTTATTTACAGAAATATGCTCTAAATCAAATTTGTATTTAAAATAAACAACTAAGTATATTAATCATTCATACTTCAATGCAAAAAAGAAAAATAGTATGAAGAAAAAACTAGAACGTTCATTATTAAGGGAGATAGCTATACAGAAAAACACTACATTATTTGGGAGAAAGCCAAGAATAGAAGAATTAAGTGCTAGTGGAAACAAGTGTATAATGAGAAAATATGGATTTATGATACAAGAGTGAATAATAACATTTTCTGTAAGAGATTGTGATAGTCTCAAATTGGCATAAAAGTTGCTAATTCACACAAAAGACAATATTAATTAAAAGATTAAAATGTAGTGCTCTCTTGCTAATTCCAATCCAGGTTTGTATATTAATTTTTGAACCACAAAAAATTAAAAAACAAAAGACAAAGTTTAAGGACCTGTTTGGTTGAAGGTTTGTTTTAGAGTTTTTCTCAGTTTTTAAACAAATTAATGTTAATAAAATATGTAATACCATATATTAAATAGAAGAGTAGAAATTTCTTGAAAAAAGTCATATTAAGAGTACACTTTTTGAAGGCAAACACATTCTAATACAGATTAGTTACAGTACAATGATAAATTTATGAAACTAATAGATACTACATAACATACACTCTTCAAAAATAAAGTTGCAACACCCCAAGGGAATATGATAGCCACATGAAAATTATTAAGTTTGTGTACACATTGAGTCTTGTGGTACCCAATTTTGGGCTGTAAAGGCCAGGGCAGTGTTCAGTAACACAGAATTCTGACTTAGTCAGGTTGTGCCACGATACTGAACAATATTCTTAGCAATTCTGACTCTGCCCACTGTAAGAATTCTTACTCATTTTACTCAGACTACTTTTAGTTGACTTACCACGCTTAGTGACATCACTCCATCTTTTTTGTTTTTATTTTACTTCAATGAATTTTATGCTTATGATTGTAATAGTGGCTCATGATGGATTAGATAATTTCATTTTTAAAGATAGAATTACTATTTTAAGATTTTATTATATTTATTTTTATTTAATTTTAACTTTGTCCACCAGTTTTCCTAGTAAAAAGTTAAATTTAAATGCCAAGTTTTGTATAGTTTCTGGATGAAAATTCACTGAGTTCAGCGTTAATAAAGTTCTTTAGCATTAACACAAGCACTTATACACTTGTTGAAAGTGCTTGTGTTAATGCTAAAGGAACTTTTTTAACACTGAACTTGGTAAATTTTCATCCAGAAACTAAGTTTTCCTAGGTGTCTAGCAAAGAATAATTGTTCAGTAATGCTCAGAATATTTGTTAGTTTTGCCCAGTAAGCCACTGAAAATTCTGATTTAATGTTCTGCATTACTGAAGATGACCCTGCGGTTGGCTCAAGCTGTAAATGCTATCAGCAATAGTTTACAACAGCCAAACTTTTGAAAAAGTATAGAAAATGCCTTGGAGACAACTGAATACCACTAGTTAATGGCTAGGGAACAAGACTGTATCCTGGAGATGCACAACCTCAGTTTGTTGATGCATGCAGTTGCCACGCATGTTGAGCACGATATTAGTACCATGCAGTGTTGTGTGACATGATGGATGCAGGAACATCTGCAAACATGCTGAAGAAAGAGTGGTGCATGACAGACTGCACAGACCAGCAGATTTGCTGAATGACCATTCAGCAAATCTGTGTGTCAGAACTCATTCACAACAGCATGACATCTGAAGCTGTCTGTCACTGTCAACAACGCATCTATGGCACCCAAACCATTCACAACAGGTTGCATGAAGTCAGGCTGCATGTATGGCAACCAACAATGGGAGTGCCATTAACTGCTCGACACAGGGCAGTATGCCTGGCATGGTGTCATCATCAATGCAACTAGACTACTGAATGGCATCGAGTATTGTTTATGAATTAATCACATTTCTGTCTGTGGACAGGTGTGGTGGTATCCCAGAAAACACTACATGCCAGCTCTTTTCACTGAGCATAATACTGGCCCCACATTGGGCATTATGGATTGGGAGACATGTTAGATCAGTGGATGCACATTTAGATCAGCCCTGGAACACATTTATGGTATTCTTACAATGGACCAGTATGTAGTACAAATTGTGGGACCTATGGTTCGGCCACTGGTGCAGACCACATCCGATATGGTGTTCCACCAAGACAACTGCATGTTGCATGACAAATTCTCACTAGTCTGAATCCTTCCCTGGCCGACAGCCTTGCCAGATCTCTCTTCTATCAAACATTTGTGGGACCTCATCTGACATGAGGTGCACCGGAGATCACTGCCACATACCATAGACGACCTGCAAGCTGCAGTAGACACAGGTTGGCAAGAGATACCGCAGGCAACCACTAATTGCCTCATTGATAGTATGTCTCACTGTTTAGCAGCCTGTATAGCTAGCTGCCCATGAAGGCCATATTAAAAATTATTAATTTAAATTAAAATTTAAAAATTATTTGACTTTTACATTCCCTTGAAGATGATTATTTAATTTTATAAAAGCTTCAATTGAAAAGTAAATTTGTTTATTTTATATTTTACAGCATTTTATAATATAATATTAAATAAATAATATTATACTAGAAATTTCAAAATATAAATTTTGATTAATGAGAAATTATTCTACATTAACATACCTGGTACCTAATCTTCTTGTTCTTAAACCAAGAAATACAGATCTTATTAATTTACCAAATGATGCTGCATTTACTGGTTCTAATTTATGTTCTGCACAATGCCTTAAGTAATGATTATAGAGTGTACTTCTAGGTAAACTAACACCTTCTGCAGTTTCATAATTATCTATTAACCATTGAACCTGAAAGAAACGTAACTATTGTAAACATATTGCAAATAAAAATGATATAAATAAAGTATATAAGTAGTTTAAAAAATATTAAGAAACTATACAAACATTTTAGATTAACAGTCTACCTCATATAAAAATACATTAATAGTTTTTTAAATTTTTGTAATAAAATATTAAAAAACAATACTTTATTCAAAACTTTTGGACTGTTATTTAAAATATACAATTCCTTGAAAAAGGACTAAACAAATTTAATTGCAAATCTTTAAAAATTTCTTCTTCATAAATTTTACATATAAGTTTAAAATTTTTTAAAATAAATATAAATAGAATTTTAATAATTTTAATGCAGTGATTTTTTTAAAAATCAGAAAGTTTATAAAAAAGTTTATATAGGAGAAAGTTTATAAAAATATAACAAAAGCAAATGAATTTATTGGGCTGCAATTTGAAAAATTGTAGACCAATAAATTCCCACTGTTGTCTGTCTGCCTATCCTTCGTTAATCTCGAGAACAATGTTAGGTAGGTGAAAGTCAAGACCAGATAGGGAAAGCTTAGGGGCAAGAGGCCCCAATTAACTACAAAAATTCAATTCAAAAATTTTTCCCAGAATGAAGTTACATAGATGACTGACATGACTGTTGTTATCAGAAAAAGTATGATGTACAGAGGCAAGACACTACTAATTTGAAAATGAAAGCATATATTTTTAATTAAATAAATTAAGAATATGATTAAAAATTGTGGTTCAGCACAGTGACAAGGTTGCAATAAATAATTGCTCATTTTAAATAAAAACTATTGATAAAAAGATTATATATTTTTTAAACAATTCAATGTTACGAGGTAACTGCTAATGATAAAAGTATTTGTTGGTGATATTTTGCCCTTGGAAATTCATTATTATTATTATTTCACTACAGCATTAAAAAGCAACTGTTTAATATGAAAAGCAAAAGAATTACAGTCGACCCCCTATAACACTGTTGATTATTCCGTTTTATATGAATTCCATGTTGTACGAGTCACTTAGATTTTACAAATATGTGTGGCTGTGAATGGCTCACGTATTTATAAAATCTAAGTAACTCATATAACATGGAATTCATATAAAATGGAATAATCAACAGTGTTATAGGGGGGTCGACTGTATAGCATTTTCTTCAATTTTCAATAAAGCATTTCCTCCTAAAGTCATCATCAGCATCTTAACTTGGCAGATACTTTCTTTTTTAAATTGCAATAGAAAAATTGAATAATCCAATAATTTAAAATCAAGATACTATTATTCCCAGATAATGCAAATATCAAAATATTTATATATTTTAATCAAATAAATAAGCTGGAACTTACATATAATACAAAAATCGCACCTTCCACACATTTTCCACGGAAAGTGTATGGAGGTGTGATTTTTGTATTATTTATATAGTATATTTGAAATGAACTTAAAGATGGAGATACTAATCATGAATTATCATCCAGTTTATAAAATTTGAATTGATTATTAAATTGTAAAATGAATTTCATGCTGAATTACTAAAGATAATTAATATAAAAGCTATACTTTAGTAATATATGTGTAGAATACAAAAAAAGGAGAAAATATGTACAAACATATCTTAATCAAAGAGATGATAATGCTTTCATTTATTTAATTTGTAAAGCATTTATTTATATTTTCATTATTTTTCCAAATACAGTGTAAAGTTTCATTAAAACAATTCCAACATATGATTTTAAATTGTGACCAGTTTTCCTAGTAAAAAGTTAAATTTAAATGCCAAGTTTTGTATAGTTTCTGGATGAAAATTCACTGAGTTCAGCGTTAATAAAGTTCTTTAGCATTAACACAAGCACTTATACACTCGTTGAAAGTGCTTGTGTTAATGCTAAAGGAACTTTTTTAACGCTGAACTTGGTGAATTTTCATCCAGAAACTAAGTTTTCCTAGGTGTCTAGCAAAGAATAATTGTTCAGTAATGCTCAGAATATTTGTTAGTTTTGCCCAGTAAGCCACTGAAAATTCTGATTTAATGTTCTGCATTACTGAAGATGACCCTGCGGTTGGCTCAAGCTGTAAATGCTATCAGCAATAGTTTACAACAGCCAAACTTTTGAAAAAGTATAGAAAATGCCTTGGAGACAACTGAATACCACTAGTTAATGGCTAGGGAACAAGACTGTATCCTGGAGATGCACAACCTCAGTTTGTTGATGCATGCAGTTGCCACGCATGTTGAGCACGATATTAGTACCATGCAGTGTTGTGTGACATGATGGATGCAGGAACATCTGCAAACATGCTGAAGAAAGAGTGGTGCATGACAGACTGCACAGACCAGCAGATTTGCTGAATGACCATTCAGCAAATCTGTGTGTCAGAACTCATTCACAACAGCATGACATCTGAAGCTGTCTGTCACTGTCAACAACGCATCTATGGCACCCAAACCATTCACAACAGGTTGCATGAAGTCAGGCTGCATGTATGGCAACCAACAATGGGAGTGCCATTAACTGCTCGACACAGGGCAGTATGCCTGGCATGGTGTCATCATCAATGCAACTAGACTACTGAATGGCATCGAGTATTGTTTATGAATTAATCACATTTCTGTCTGTGGACAGGTGTGGTGGTATCCCAGAAAACACTACATGCCAGCTCTTTTCACTGAGCATAATACTGGCCCCACATTGGGCATTATGGATTGGGAGACATGTTAGATCAGTGGATGCACATTTAGATCAGCCCTGGAACACATTTATGGTATTCTTACAATGGACCAGTATGTAGTACAAATTGTGGGACCTATGGTTCGGCCACTGGTGCAGACCACATCCGATATGGTGTTCCACCAAGACAACTGCATGTTGCATGACAAATTCTCACTAGTCTGAATCCTTCCCTGGCCAACAGCCTTGCCAGATCTCTCTTCTATCAAACATTTGTGGTACCTCATCTGACATGAGGTGCACCGGAGATCACTGCCACATACCATAGACGACCTGCAAGCTGCAGTAGACACAGGTTGGCAAGAGATACCGCAGGCAACCACTAATTGCCTCATTGATAGTATGTCTCACTGTTTAGCAGCCTGTATAGCTAGCTGCCCATGAAGGCCATATTAAAAATTATTAATTTAAATTAAAATTTAAAAATTATTTGACTTTTACATTCCCTTGAAGATGATTATTTAATTTTATAAAAGCTTCAATTGAAAAGTAAATTTGTTTATTTTATATTTTACAGCATTTTATAATATAATATTAAATAAATAATATTATACTAGAAATTTCAAAATATAAATTTTGATTAATGAGAAATTATTCTACATTAACATACCTGGTACCTAATCTTCTCGTTCTTAAACCAAGAAATACAGATCTTATTAATTTACCAAATGATGCTGCATTTACTGGTTCTAATTTATGTTCTGCACAATGCCTTAAGTAATGATTATAGAGTGTACTTCTAGGTAAACTAACACCTTCTGCAGTTTCATAATTATCTATTAACCATTGAACCTGAAAGAAATGTAACTATTGTAAACATATTGCAAATAAAAATGATATAAATAAAGTATATAAGTAGTTTAAAAAATATTAAGAAACTATACAAACATTTTAGATTAACAGTCTACCTCATATAAAAATACATTAATAGTTTTTTAAATTTTTGTAATAAAATATTAAAAAACAATACTTTATTCAAAACTTTTGGACTGTTATTTAAAATATACAATTCCTTGAAAAAGGACTAAACAAATTTAATTGAAAATCTTTAAAAATTTCTTCTTCATAAATTTTACATATAAGTTTAAAATTTTTAAAAATAAATATAAATAGAATTTTAATAATTTTAATGCAGTGATTTTTTTAAAAATCAGAAAGTTTATAAAAAAGTTTATATAGGAGAAAGTTTATAAAAATATAACAAAAGCAAATGAATTTATTGGGCTGCAATTTGAAAAATTGTAGACCAATAAATTCCCACTGTTGTCTGTCTGCCTATCCTTCGTTAATCTCGAAAACAATGTTAGGTAGGTGAAAGTCAAGACCAGATAGGGAAAGCTTAGGGGCAAGAGGCCCCAATTAACTACAAAAATTCAATTCAAAAATTTTTCCCAGAATGAAGTTACATAGATGACTGACATGACTGTTGTTATCAGAAAAAGTATGATGTACAGAGGCAAGACACTACTAATTTGAAAATGAAAGCATATATTTTTAATTAAATAAATTAAGAATATGATTAAAAATTGTGGTTCAGCACAGTGACAAGGTTGCAATAAATAATTGCTCATTTTAAATAAAAACTATTGATAAAAAGATTATATATTTTTTAAACAATTCAATGTTACGAGGTAACTGCTAATGATAAAAGTATTTGTTGGTGATATTTTGCCCTTGGAAATTCATTATTATTATTATTTCACTACAGCATTAAAAAGCAACTGTTTAATATGAAAAGCAAAAGAATTACAGTCGACCCCCTATAACACTGTTGATTATTCCGTTTTATATGAATTCCATGTTGTACGAGTCACTTAGATTTTACAAATATGTGTGGCTGTGAATGGCTCACGTATTTATAAAATCTAAGTAACTCATATAACATGGAATTCATATAAAATGGAATTATCAACAGTATTATAGGGGGGTCGACTGTATAGGCTCTTATATGATAAAAATGATGCTTGCAAAATAAACTGTTAACGTCAAAAATCAAAAGATCGCAGTGAGTGAAGTTTGCAGGTTATCTATTATTTTAATACTTTTATACCGAAACTTTCATTTGAATTTTTTAAGGAAAGAGAAAAAAAAACTTTATCTTCATACACACTGTTGCAAAATTTCACGCGCTTTAAAGTCGATGTGCCACAATAATCCAAATTTGCATGTGGAATAGAAATAAAAAAATTCATTACAGTATTACAGCACAAACACACATTAAAGAACAGTTTCGTCTCAAATATTAAAGTCAGAAAATGGCAAACGCAGTCTGGCAGTTAATGCAAACTGACCAATGCCAGAGATGATTTTACAACGTATTGATTGCAACTATTCTTTCGTTTGACACATCCACAATACTCGGTAATCGCTGAATGTTTTCTCGGCATTCACCGAATAGCGAATGTGTGGTTCCACTATAACGGAAGAATAGTTACATCACAATTATTACTCCTGACGAATGTTTGGCATTCACCATTTTCCGGTTCTTGTCGGTAAACTGTGCTAAATCAAAGACGAATATTCGCTTTCACGCGTTCGTGTTGTCCATTCACACATNTTTAAATATTATTTTTATAATATTTTACATCATCAGAAATTAATATTGGAAGATTAAATTTATTTTGAAACTGTTTCAAAAATAAAATGGATATAGTTAAGAAATGAATTTTGTTCTTTAAATTATTAATCTCTGATCATGAACAATAAAGATTTCAAAAGTGCAATGGTTAAATATTTTTATAAGTAAATTGTACAATCATAACACTAATCAAATGAACTTGACTTAAAATTTCAGCAAATTAGACCCAAATTTAATTATTTTTATGCAAAATGCCTAAAAAATATACAGTACAAACTAAACCTAATATTTGTAAATAAAATTAGAAAGGCCTTTTTCTCATTTAGGTTTCCTTTCCAATATAAGATGAAAATCAAAGTTTTAAGACGTTATAACATAAATAATATGACAAATATTTTTCTGAATTTGAATTCAAAGTTTAATTCAAATTTAGTTTCAAATCGTTATCATATACCAGTATTTATAAACTAATTATTCAAATCAATATATTTAAAAAAACTGGGTACTTAATTATATACCACTCACCAAATAAACTATCCCCAGTTCATAACCAAACAAACATTCATGCTATGAATGTTTTCATCTATATGTAATAGACATCCTCAGGTATTGACGATATCAAACTAATGGCTAGTAGAATAGAATGTTTTTAAAAGCTCCATTTAACTAAGTAATTCGAATACTTTGCATTAAATTTTAAAATATATAAATTATTTGAAACATATCCGAATAAATAATCAATTGATTTCACGTAGATCATGACATAAATATCCTCCATAATTTAAAATATCTTTGTGATGCGTGGTTCAATCATTGGGATCTAGTTCAAAAATGATGCGCCATGCTGTGGAAAGTGTGTCTATTTCCTTGAAATTAATACCAACCCCTTTTTTAATTGCCCAATAGATCTCCAGTGATTCGAGGTACTTGAGTTGTGCCTTATCCGATACTTTGTGTAGCAATTTAGCATTTTGTAGTTCAATATGAACATCCTCATTATTCACATATGTCGCTAATGCCGTCATGGTCTGCTTTTTTTTCTTATTGAGTATTCACGTTCCTTCATCCTCATGGCAAGACCTCTTGCCATTGCTCCAATATATGTTAATGCATGGTTAACCCGGTCATCTTGAAGAGGAACTGCATAAACCCCTGGAGAGTTAGAACCTTTTATATGATTTTTATCATTTCTGATGAGAGAGAAGACTGTCGGAGAGCGTTGATATGGAGCATGGTCATCTTTCCACCTGTGTGTTCCGTAAGGAGTCATAACACCTCTATTTATACCTAACCGTTCACATGATCCTTACTGTTATAAAGTCTCCAAAGTTTAAAACTTAAAAAACACTGCTGGAGTCAGACCTAGGCAAACTAGATAATTATACTGTCTACAGCCTGGATCTGAAAGGCACCTCTACATTGCTTTATAAACTTTTATTTTTTTATACTTAAATTTAAATGATGACAATCATTTAAATGCCAGCATCAAGTTCATATCTAAATTGGGAAAATCAGCATCAGAGATATTATCAGCCCTGCAGTAAGTTTATGGTGATACTACATTAAAGAAATCTATTTATTATCATACACTACTTATTTATATAAGTAGTTTATGACTGGTTTTCATGGTTTTAAGAAAGGACAGGCAACATTGGAGGACAATGACTGCAGGCCATCCACATCTAGAACTGAAGAAATGGTTGCCAAAGTGTGAAAACTGATCCATGAATTACCATCATGGAATTATTATAAGTTGTATCTCTCACAAATCCATTCATTCAATTTTGTCTGACAATTTGAAGTTGAGATGTGTCAGTTTGCAAAGTGCATTCCAAGGCAGCTAACAATGGACCAGATTAATGACTGCTGGAGTTCTGTTTGAAAAAAGTATGCAGGACCCAACATTTCTCATGAAGACCATTACTGGTGATGATTAATGGGTGTTCACCTATGACCTACAGATGAAGATGCAGTCATTAGAGTGGTATACAATACATTCTCTCTGACCAAAGAAATCCCACCTTGTCAAATTCAAAGAAAAAATTATGCTCATTGCATTCTTTGACATGGACAGCATGATGCACCATGAGCATGCTAATCATGTCTTTTTTTCTACAGCATACATTTCAGTAGTGGTATGAAAGGTATTTTTTGATAAAAGTGTGAACAACAAGGCAACAGAAAAAAGTAATTAATCAAACATGTGCATTTTATTAGAAAAAAAGTTGTTCCTAATATCATCCTTTCTGAACAATATTATGAACATCAAATTTGTAATGATTTCAAGTCATTTTAATCTCAGAAACCTAATAATAATAATTGTTCAGTTTTAACTATTCAAATAAAGTACTTGCTTTCATTTAATTCTTCCAGTAATCCAAGTAATCCTTCCATTTACACAAGTAATTGGTTCCATGAAAGTAGTACATAAATGGAGCCTGAAAATATGTTTAGAATAGGGATTTGTTCCATATTCTCAAATACAGTATTTTATTCTTACTAGGGATAAAAAAGTTTCAATGGAAGTTTTTAAAATATACATCTATATAAAAGTTACTGATGATATAAACACAATTTTTGATGTAACTTATTTATTTCCATAAAGTTGATTATTTAAAATTAAAATAATTTTCAATTGTGTTAAAGTGAATTCACATAAATGGAGGGATTACTATATTTATCTTTTGTCTCTCCTGGATTCTGCATCATCTTATTCATGGTTCCACTGAAAACACCTGTTGCATCAAATCCATTTTTTACCATGCTTATTTTTGGAATAAACAAAGGAACAAAAATGACAACAGATGTCTTATTTATCATTTCATTCATTAGGTTTGGAACTGTTCAAAACATCAGATGTTGGATCATCAAAGTTTCTGAGATTTCAGATGTGTTTTTGATTCTTTGAATTTTTTAAAAGTTGAAGCTGTTAGTACTGTGATTGATTGACAAGCTATGTAAATTGATTTTCATAAGCAGTGTTACATCAGTCAGTATACATTAGGAGTATTTGCAGTTGTGGTGTCTTCTCCACTGGCAGCTTGAATGGAGTTCTTAATACCTGTCTCCTGTGTGATATTGAGAACACATGGGGAATAATAATAAGCACAAATGATGAAATTAATATAGCTACTTGCATACAGAAAATGCATTTCTCTGGATGATAGTCATTACGTAAAATGGCATTAAATAGACTACAGTTAAATACATTCCT